ATTTAATTGCAACACCAGTTTTGTTCGCGATAGGCTCAATCGTGGTCTATTATTACATATTTCCTTTAGCCTGGAAGTTTTTTATCAAGTTTGAATATAGCAGTAAATCTTTTGATATACCAATAGAGTTCATGCCATCAGTAAGTGAATATTTAGATCTCGTAATTCAATTCATGTTTGCATTTGGTACTGCATTTCAAATTCCGGTTATATTAACATTAATGGTCAGGGTTGGGTTACTAACTGCACAAAGTTTATCAAATAAACGTAGAATTGCGATAGTGATAATTTTTATTGTAGCTGCATTTTTAACTCCACCTGACGTGTTGAGTCAAGTGGGGCTTGCTATACCGATGCTGATTTTATATGAATTATCAATCTTTATATGTAGTTGTATTGAAAAGAAAAACAATACTTCTAACTCTAATTCCGAGAAAGAAGAAAAGTAAGTTTAGATGCTTAACCCAACTATGAACAAGCAGGGCTTTTTCGTTTTATAGTTGAAGTTAAAAGACTTAAAGTTAAAAGACTTAAAGATAGATGAATAATATTGTAATAGGCTCAATAATCATTGCTGTGAACTATATTTAGTAATATAATTTTTCATTTAATTGGTGTTACCTATTTATGCCAGATTTTACATTTATTTTGATAGCTGTACTTATATTCTTTTCTCTTACAATTTTACTTTTTACCATGAAGAGAGTTTCTGGATCAAAAAAAGTTATAAAACCTTTAAGAAAAATTGTTGAGCAAATAAATGCATTGGAGCCAAAAATACAGGCACTTTCTGATCAGGAACTGTTAAGTAAAACTGAAGAGTTTAAGCAAAGGCTCAAAAGCGGAGAAACATTAAACGATATCCTTCCTCCTGCGTTTGCGGTTGTGCGTGAGGCATCAAGGAGATTTCTAAATATGAGACACTTCGATGTTCAACTAATTGGTGGTATGGTGCTGCACAATGGAATGATAGCAGAAATGAAGACGGGAGAAGGTAAAACACTCGTTGCAACTTTAGCTGCATATCTTAATTCTTTAGAAGGCAAGGGAGTGCATGTAGTCACTGTTAATGATTACCTTGCAAAACGGGATATGGAATGGATGAGTACATTATATAACTCTCTAGGTGTTTCTGTTGCATTTATTACTAATAACTTGACAGATGAAGAAAGAAAGGAAGCCTATAGTGCTGATATCGTATATTCAACTAATAATGAATTGGCCTTCGACTACCTGCGGGATAATATGAAATTCTCTCCAGATGAGATGGTTCAAAGAGGATTTAATTATGCAATAGTGGATGAAGTAGACTCTATTCTAATTGATGAAGCACGTACACCACTCATTATTTCTGGTCAGGTTGAAGATAATAACCAGATATATAAGCATATTAACAAGGTAGTTACTAAGCTAAAAGATACTGACTATGAATTAGATGAAAAAAGCAGGACTGTGTTTTTGACTGAAGATGGTATTCCATATGTAGAGGAATTATTGAAATCATACAGCCTGATCACGGCAAATTCTTCACTGTATGATGCTAATAATATAATAATGACTCATTATATAAATCAAGCATTGCGTGCACATAAGCTATTTACAATCAATAAAGACTATATTGTAAAAAAAGGTAGAGTGGTAATTATTGACGAGTTTACTGGGCGTATGATGGAAGGTAGAAGATATTCCGATGGGCTCCATCAAGCACTTGAGGCGAAAGAGAATCTTGAAATTCAGCATGAAAATCAAACTTTAGCTTCGGTAACTTTCCAAAATTATTTTCGTATGTATAATAAACTTTCAGGCATGACCGGAACAGCAGCAACAGAAGCAGAGGAATTTCGTGACATATATAGATTAAATGTAGTGAAGATTCCCACCAACGTGCCCGTAAAAAGGATAGATCTAAATGATGAAATTTACGGTACGGAGAAGGAAAAGTACAGTGCAGTGTTGAAGCTTATCAAAGAATGTCATGAGCGCCTTCAGCCTGTACTTGTTGGTACAGTAAGCATCGAAAAGTCAGAAGAACTTTCTGAACTTTTGCGTCGTAACTCTCTAAAGCACTCGGTCTTAAATGCTCGCTATCATGAACAAGAGGCTTATATTATTGCACAAGCTGGAGTTCCAGGTAGCATAACTATAGCAACTAACATGGCTGGACGAGGAACTGATATTCAGCTTGGTGGTAATGCTGAAATGATTGCAAAAACGGAGCTCAGTAAAATAAAAGATGAAGAACTAAGGAGTAAGAAATATCAAGAGATAGTTGAAAGGGTGCAGCGCGACAAGGAAGTTGTGCTAGAGGCTGGAGGTTTATGTGTCATTGGTACTGAGAGGCATGAAAGTAGAAGAATAGATGATCAATTGCGTGGACGTTCTGGAAGACAAGGCGATCCAGGACTTTCTAAATTTTTCTTATCGCTTGAAGACGACTTACTGAGAATATTCGGTTCGGATAGGATGAGAAGTTTTTTACAAAGAGTGGGATTAAAAAATTATGAAGCTATTCACCACCCATGGCTTAATAAAGCTATAGCAAAGGCACAGAAGAAAGTAGAGGCTAAAAACTATGACGTGCGAAAATCTCTGCTCAAGTTTGATGATGTAATCANATGTTTTAACTAATGAAAGTAATGATCTATTTGAAGTATATAATGAGGTAAACCAAAGCGTAATAGAAGAAATTGTGAGAGACGGTTACTATGAAGATCATATTAATGAGATAATAAATGAGTTCTATAAGAGATATGGTGTTAAGCTAGACCATGAATCCTTAGCGGAGCTTGTGAATAAGGAAGATGCTCTAAATTATATGAATAATAAGACAAAAGAATTTTTTATTGAAAAAGAGCAGTATTTTAACAGTCAAAATACCACTAATCTGTGGAATACAGTAGTAAAACAAGTGATGATAATGACCATTGACCATCTCTGGAGAGAGCATCTTTCAACTTTAGAAAGCCTAAAGCAAAGTATAGGTTTGCGTGCGATGGGGCAGAAGGATCCATTAAATGAATTTAAACGCGAAGCTTTTTTGATGTTTGAATCAATGCTCGAGGAATGGAAAGCACTTACTATTCACCGCCTGGTGCATTTTAAACTCGCAGAAGATTATGAAACAAGCAGCAAAGTTAAAAGAACTAAAGTCTCAAGAAACGATAAATGTCCATGCAACTCTGGTAAGAAGTATAAACATTGCCATGGCGCAGTAAGCACATAAATTAAATTGACTTTATAAATACAGCAATATAAAATTAGGCAGCGTATTGACTCTTTCGTCTAGTGGTTAGGACACCACCCTTTCACGGTGGTAACACGGGTTCAAATCCCGTAAGAGTCATTTTTTCATAATCTGCTTTTATGGCAAGGGAATCTCAACACGGTTGGTACTTTTTGCCTTTTTTTGAGACTGTAAAATAGTCAATAATTAAATTTTTTGTTACGCTAAAAAAACACTTTTCTTGGAAAAATATTTAGTTTTTTTTGCTTCCTTTTTGCTAGAGTTTTGATTAGCTCCATCGCTTTTCAAAAGTGAGGGTGGTAGAGTTCTTGGAGCATAATAAATGAGCACGAGCCTAAAAATAGGATTATCTTTTGATCGTTCTTTGACTTTAGCAAAACCAAGCACCATATCGTTTTTGCGTGTTAGTATGTGTAATATTGCTGCCTCTCCGTTATGTTTCCTGACCTTTTATATCCTTAACAGGTTCTCGAAAAAATTCACTACGTTATCTCTATTTTTGCTCGTTCATTACTCAGTATTGCCTTTAACTACGCCAAGTTCTACCTCGAGAAAATTTAAAGGAATCACTATTTATTTTATAGTTTCGCAGAGGGTCAGTAATCAAAAGCGTAGTTGGGCTTTGCATACTGTAGCACAAAGATACTTTTGCTTCAGAGTATAGCACAGCTTCTAAAAAAAATCATACAGCTAAAGAATGCTTTCTTCTTGCAATTTTTCAATTTCCTCAGAAGGAAGACCTGTAGATTGTGATATGATATTAATTGGTACACCAACCTTAAGTAAGTTCTTAACTACCTCAACTTCTCTTTCTTTCCTGCCCCGTTCCTCCCCGATTTGGATGCCTTCTTCTCTACCTTTCTCTTTACCTATTTTTATACCATCATCTCTAGCATCATCAAGTTTTTGGGCAAGTATGGCTTGTTCATCAAGAACACGTTTAATCTCTTGTTCATAGGCGATAAATTCTTTTTCCGACCAGTTAAACCTGTTCAATTCTTCATACGCTCTTTTAATTATCACATCACTTCCTATTATTCTTTCCAGATCTTCTTCACTGGTTTCATCTGCATACTTAAAAAAGTATATCCATTTTTCTACTATATTCTCCAGTTGGTCTTCTTTTGTCTTAGAAAATTTAGGTAACTCAATAAATGTAAAATAGAAGTCCTTTAAGTCATGTTCGTTAGTATCTTTATCTTGAATTATATGATCTGATTTATACCCTGACTTGTTTGGAAAGAGAATACAGTCTGCTATCGCGATAAAAATTATCTCTTTAAGATTATGATACTGATCACCCTTATCAGCTTGTCTTGCATAAGCTTTAGCAGCGTAATATTGGGCACGTTTTTCAAAGCCTTTAGTTTTAGCGATCTGCATTTCAACTATCACTTGTATATCATTTTCATCCTTACAAAGAACATCAACGATACTTTGTTTTTTAGAAGCAATTTCCGGATCTTGAATAGTACTTAAAAACTCAATTTCTTTGATTTTATTGACATCAGCAAATCCCAGGATATCATTTAAAAAGTGAATTAAAATATCCTTATTTTTCTCAGTTCCGAAAATGCGTTTGAATGCAATGTCATTTTTAATATCAAGAAATTTAGAAAGAGCCATGGTTAAAGCACTAAAGGAACATCAATAATTGTACACCTCAAAGACCAATATTTCAATTGGAAATAAAACTAACATGTTATATATAATTATTAACAAATAAAATATTAAAAATATTTCACTGTCTATAGGTATAATAGCTTAGATGTAATAGTTTAGACTTAGGCGTGAATTAACTGACAGAAGAATTTATAAAGTCAAAACCAATGTCAGCATCTTGTTTAATGCTATCAATATTTTTCTGATAAGCAAAATGATAGACAAACTCTTTCAGATAACCATGTTGCAATTACCGGTTCTTCAGATATACTTTTGCTATAAAAGTTCGCATAAAA